TTCGGAAATTGAAGAAGCCATTAAAATCTTCTCAAGGGACAAAGTTTACGTAAAAATTGACTCCTAACACGTGAGAAAGCAGCAAAGGTGAGGGACATCTACTGTCAAACATTAAAGACCAAGACGAGGAAGAAAGAGAATGAAGATAATTGGTCCTGTGGTTCTTTTTTTTTTAAATGTTTTTGTTCTGGTTAATGTAAAACAAACTATCACTGTACATAATCCAGTGTTCTACTGAAATTTGTTTTCATTTTTTTCAGAAGCCTCATGAAACAATGCATGCTTGTCATTATAAACCTGTTTTAATTTTATCTGGTTCAAACTACATATGCTATCTAGATTTTATTAACTGCAAAAACATGATGTTTGTGTGTCATTAATAAAATAAATGTAAATTTGAAAAAAGATCAATGTATAATATATTTATTAATCAACATTTGTGTCATCAACAAAATCCACGATTGGACATGGACAACGTGCATAGAGAAGAAAAAGTCTTTAATGAATCTCATTGGTTCTTCGCGACTCTATGACGTAAGACGTACGTCCCTCCCCCTTGCGTCTTATTCATTGTTCAGTGTGGTACAGTCAATGTGCTAACGCTAACTTAGATTACAACATATTCGAACAAAGATCTCGGGTAGTAACTAATATTTAGAATTTAATTAATTAGCAATGAGCAAGAGGAAAGCCCCCCAGGAATCCCCCAATGAGGGAATTACAGACTTTCTTGTTGGTACGTATGAAGACGACGAAAGGCTGCTAGCAGCTAACAGCTAACTTAGTAGCTCTGTGGTCTGCTTTGTTTATGAATAGAAATAACCAGTAGTTTCAAACATTGGTGCTGGGTACGTTTTCGATATCACGAGAAGGCACTATTTCCTTAGTTTCAACTTTTGTTTTTTTAAAGCCAGATATTCTGACGTTTTGTGTCGACTCTCCTGCTCCTTAAAGTTCTTCTATTTAAATACCTTCCAAAAACGCCACCTCATCATGTTCTGTGTTTCCAGAGCTGGCCAACTATGAGAAAAATGTCAACAGAGCCATACACAAGTACAATGCATACAGGTAATTTTTAGACACTCCCCTGCAGTGTCTAATTTGTCTTGGTGTATATATTTGTTTGTTTGTTTTTTTTTAATGGTTAGTGACAGATGGGATCAAGGTTGGGCCGGTGTCATATAATGTGTCAGCATTCCTCCCTGTTAGCAGGGGTGATGGGCACCAGATGGAGTAAAACAGGATATTCTGGACCATGTAGTATTCAAATAGTACAGCATTGTGTTATGTGTGGTAAGAGTAGGATAAGACAGCAACATTAGGGAGGTAAAGAGTAGTCATAGAAGAAGAAGGAACAAGACAACGTACAGGAAAGATAGAGACACAATGTGTTCTTTTGTAATAGGAGACAGTGGATCATGTTGTATTTGTATGTACAAAAATAAATAAATGGGATAAACATTGGCAACAGAACAGATGACACTGTTGACTATATATTTCAAAAACTTTCCAAGTTTTGGAGGTGATACAGACGTGAGAGGTGGACGATTATGATATTTGTGTTTTAGGAAGGCCTTATCATAAATTAGCTGTACGGTCAAGTGAAATAGAGATTGACCAGAGGGTGGCAGTAATGCAACATGATACCAACTGCCATTTAAAAAATGAGAATTACTTTAGTTTAAATGGTGGGGATTTAAAGGCTAGACGTAAAAATGTGGATTCGAAAAAGCAAATTGTTATAAACTAGTATTTCCTGCAAACAAACTCTAGCTGTATGGCTAATGGTGTCTCTGTGATGTTAGAAACTTGGTGTTTTTTTCCACTAAACTTCTCTGCCTTATCGTCATGCTAATTCCACTGCCTTTACAAAGAAGAACCTTTAGTGCCTACAAAAGGTTCATTGTACAACTCAGCCCAGGTCCCTGCAGTGGACATGTGCTTCAAGATACTGAAATGGTGGAGTTCAAGATGCAGAGATTAACTTGAAGTGTGACCAAGATGGACAGGATTAGAAATAACATTACCAGGGTGACACCTCGGGTCGACAAATTCAGATTATTAAAAATTATGAATTATGTAACAGCAGCTGAGGCTAAAGGTTTGGGTTAGAGGCAGACAGAAGATCTATGATGGTCAATCCTGAAAGAAGATTCCAGATCAGTAAAATTGGCTTTTTAAATGATTCTGACTCTTATCCAAAAATCCTAGTGAAAAGTGTCATTAAAATCCAGTACCAGGTTGTCATTACTGTGTCTGTGTATTAATTACATAACTCCTGTCTTGTACTCCAACTAGGAAAGCTGCATCCACCATTTCTAAATATCCCAACAAGATCCGGAATGGTGAAGAGGCCAAAAAGCTGGTATGTCTACGGAATACAGTTACAATGTCCTTATTGGCTACCCTTCAAAAACACTATTAGAAAATTTGTAGTGTGCAGTAAAAGTGGGAAAAAAACAGCAGTGTAGTGTTGTTGTTTTTTTAATCTCTATTTCAACAAATACAGTAATATATGATAATGGGCACATTCCTCTCCTAATCTGTCAGAGTTTGATGTTGAGGTGAACACAGTGATACTGACCTGTCAGAAATGGAAACGGTGACCTGGTTCTCACTGAGCTGACACTGTTTCATCTTCAAGACTGATGTGCACTGGAAAGTGAATCATTGTTGGTCTTTGCTAACAGTCACGCACTGCTGCTGCTCTTTGTTGTGGCCTAAAAAATATTTGTCAGCAGCCACTCTGGACATCTTACATAACCGCTACAGATCACACCAGTTAACACCCTCGTGTTTGTTTTCACATTTCCACAGGATGGTGTTGGTGCTAAAATAGCTGAAAAGATTGACGAGTTCCTACAGACAGGCAAACTACGGAAACTGGAAAAGGTCGGTGTTCGGGAATGTAAATAACATCCCTGCTGATGCATTTTATGTTTGGTTCATTAAAATCCTAATTTTATTACATTGCACACAGTAATGAGCTGTCCTCTGTATTTCTCGTGTCTAGATTCGAAATGATGACACAAGCACTTCCATCAATCTCCTCACCAGAGTGACAGGAATCGGGTAAATTCAATTGAACTTTTTGACAAATCAAGCACAGCATTAATTGTATGAATTGAACTTCATGAGTGTCTAATGGAAGACATACAGTATTTAGCTTCTAATTCTGAATTTATTTTCATGGACGCTAATTTCAGCCCTGCTGCAGCCAGGAAATTTTTTGAAGAAGGGGTCAAGACTTTAGAAGGTTTGTGTTGCAGTTGCAACTTCAACAAAACTTCACCCGGCTAACGTGTTAGCTGTTGACTAATTTTTAACACTTTTTTTAGATCTGAAAAAGATTGAGCACAAGCTGAATCATCATCAACAGATTGGACTCAAGTGAGTTCACTGGGAAACACGTTAATTTCCTTCACTCAGATGTGGACTAAATTAATAGGGAGATAAGACAGTGAAGCCGTGTCTAATGGTTTTATTTTTCTACTCTCAGGTACTTTGAAGAGTTTGAGAAAAGGATCCCTCGTGCTGAAATGGAAAAGATGGAGGTGATTGCGCTTTCATGTCAATCTGTTATCTTCAGATATATTTTGTGCAGCATAATTAAATCTGCGTGCTGTATAAATCCTAGACCCTGATTCTTGGAGAGTTGCAGAAAATTGACCCTGAATACATCGGAACAATCTGTGGTAGTTACAGGAGAGGTAAAACGTTGCGTCATCGTTCGGTTAGACTACCGCTCAAATAGACTGTTGTTACAATATTCAATTCATTTTTGCTAATTTTCCAGGAGCTGCCTCGAGTGGTGATATTGATATTTTGCTGACTCACCCAGACTTTACCTATCAGACTGAGAAGCAGGTAAAACTCCATTAGTTCACCCTCATAAACCTCAGGTGTGTTTTTATTTACAGTTTTCTTTGCCCTTTCTAATCAATTCCAGCCCAAACTCCTCCATGCTGTG